GATATGACTGTCTAAAATATCGTTACTCATTTTTTCAACACGATTTTGAATTGTGCTGGTGGAGAGAGATATTGCACATGCTTAGACAAGTTTAAATAACTATAGACACATTTAGCGCTTTTAAACAATACAAGTTTACATAATTTCAGTAACATTTAAATCATTTTGAACTATTTTGTAAAATTTTGACAATTTTAGATATAAATAAATTAGACAATTTTGTCCAAGTTTTGATATTATTTTGATCATTTTAGACGGTTTTGAACAAGTTTAGACAAGTATCAACAATTTTAAACAAATTTTGTGCTCATAAATAATTTTGTACAAGTTTACATCATTTCAGTATCATTATAATCATTTTGAACTATTTTGTAAAATTTTATAAATTTTAGATATAAATAATTTCGACAATTTTGCCCATAAATTTAAATTGTATCTTAAATACAACTTAACATTACTGTGTGTACGTGTATGTAAGGCAATGAATCATTTTAAATGATTCGCGAATGCTTTTAACGATTCGTTGTTTTTCGTTACATTTGAGAAAGTCGCCTACTGCTTGATGTTGTAGTACAACACTATATCAGATTGAGCGAATCGTGTGTTACATTGATTGGCGTTCGAGATATCTTATTGTTAGTGTTGATTCACCATTCGTTTTTCTGCGAATGTTTCATTCGGGTGAATGAAACATTCATACAAGTCTCTGATACCTACTTACTTTGTCCCACATAAAATACAACATGTCAATATAATTTGACATTACAGTAAAACCTCAATATAACGGATTAATACGGGGAACGCAGTGCCCGTTATAGCTTATAGCTCATGTAAGATATCACTATGTTGCATATTTTTATTGCACTAAAACTAGAACTAACACTAGACCTAGAAATAGAAACATTAGTCGTCTGAAGACGCACGGCTAAACCCGATGCTTTGTAGTTCTAGGTCTAGTGTTAGTTCTAGCTTTACATTAGCACTATCACTAGAACTAACAAGATCGAGAACTAGAATCATTCGGGTTTAGCCGTCTTGAGAGACGTGCGGCTGAACCCGAATGTTACTAGTTCTAGCTCTAGTGTTAGTTCTAATTTTAATTGTTATTTAGCGTTGGATTGTGGTATATTTTTGTTGAACGAAAAGTAGAACCAACACTAAAGCTAGCACCAGATTAAGATGGTTGAACCTGAATGTTTCTAGTTCTAGGTCTAGTGTTAGTTCTAGTTTTACACTAGCACTATCACTAGAACTAACACAATACCTAGATCTGGAATCATTTGGGTTTAGCCGTCTTGAGAGACGTGCGGCTAAATCCGAATGTTTTTAGTTCTCGGTCTAGTGTTAGTTCTTGTTTTGTGGTAGAACTAATACAAGACCTAGAAGTAGTTTTAATTGTTATTTAGCGTTAGATTGTGGTATATTTTTATTGGACGAAAAGTAGAAGTAACACTAGATCTAGAACTAGAAACAAGTTTAGTCGTGCGTCTCTTAAGATGGCCGAAAACTCAGGATTATCATAAGGACGTCACCTTTTTCCAAGCAAAACTGTTCCTTTTGCAAAATTACCCATTGCCTGTACTATTAAGCTATGTTGCATTTTATGTGGCACAGTGCATGTGCATAGTAATTTGGTAACTATGGTATATATGAACAAGATAAACAAGAACTACAAGCATTTACTTACTTGGTCCGCTTGACTACNTTTCTACTATAGACAATTTTGTCCAAGTTTTGATAATATTATTCTTTTGGTCATTTTAGACGATTTTGAACAAGTTTCAACAATTTTAAACAAATTTTGTGCTTGTAAATAATTTTGTACAAGTTTACATCATTTCAGCAACATTTTCGTTGTTAGTGTTAGTTCTAGTGCAGAACTAGAACTAACACTAGACCGAGAACTAGAATCATTCTGTTTAGCCGTCTTGAGAGACGTGCGGCTAAATCCGAATGTTTCTAGTTCTACCTCTAGTGTTAGTTCCAGTTTTAATTGTTATTTAGAGTTAGGTTGTAGTATATCTTTATTGAACGAAAAATAGAACTAACACTAGAACCAGAAACATTCGGGTTTAGCCGTGCGTCTCTTAAGATGGCTGAACCTCAATATTGCTAGTTCTAGGTCTAATGTTAGTTCTAGTGACAGTGATAGGTAGCTCATAGTGATAGCATAAGATATCACTATGTTGAATGTTTATGTTGCACTAAAACTAGAACTAACACTAGACCTAGAACTAGAAACATTCTGGTTTAGCCGTCTTGAGAGACGTGCGGCTAAATCCGAATGGTTCTAGTTCTCGGTCTAGTGTTGCAGTTTTGCAGTAGATCTAATACAAGACCTAGAACTAGTTATAATTGTTATTTAGCGTTAGATTGTGGTATATTTTTATTGGACGAAAAGTAGAAGTAACACTAGATATAGAACTAGAAACATTCGGGTATAGCCGTGCATCTCTTAAAGCTGCCGAAAACTCAGGGCTATCACAAGGACGTTACCTTTTTCCAAGCAAAACTACCCAATGCCTGTACTATTAAGTTATGTGGCAATACTGTGCATTTTATGTGGCACAGTGCATGTGCATAGTAGTTTTGTAACTATGGTATATATCAGTGTTTCTTAATCTTTTCACCATCATTACCCTTATAACCTGCCCGGGACTAGGGATTTACCTCTTTATAAAAAATACCATACAGTACTATAATAACGTTATTATTATTAAATATAATATATTACATTTTGAATAGTAATTAATGGGATGGTTTTTGTTGCTTCTTCTTAACAAGATTTTTTGTTTAGTTTACTTTCTAATAAAGGACATCGTAAGTCATGCTCTACGCTGAGCCGATTATTAGATTTAGTCAAATCTATATATGTTCCTAAAATGGGACTAGAATTCTTACCCTGTCGGCTAAAATAAAATATTCGCCCTGGTTTTTTGTCCAAAACATTTTGAACTATTTTGCAAAATTTTTATAATTTTAAATACTTTTTGAATATTTTAGACAATTTTATATAAGTTTAGCCAAATTTAGATAACTTTAGATAAATTTAAATTGTGTCTTAAATACAACTTAACATTACTGTGTGTACGTGTACGTGAGGTAATGAATCATTTTAAATAATTCGCGAATACTTTTAACGATTCGCTGCTTTTCGTTACATAAGAGCCGTGCGTCTCTTAAGACGGCCGAAAACTCAGGGTTATCATAAGGACGTCACCTTTTTCCAAGCAAAACTGTTCCTTTTGCAAAATTACCCATTGCCTGTACTATTAAGCTATGTTGTATTTTATGTGTCACAGTGCATGTGCATAGTAATTTGGTAACTATGGTATATATGAACAAGATAAACAAGAACTACAAGCATTTACTTACTTGGTCAGCTTGACTACTGCAACGTCTTAAATGTAACGATTTAATGTAGTAATCACTCAAATGATTTTATTCTTGTTAATACAACGTCTTATCAAAAACCACTTAACTCAATTCAATTAATTTGTTTAATTAATTATAAAAAATATGTAAAAATTCCAAAAAAAAATTTGCTTGTTCGCCTATAACTTTCAAAGTACAATGACCAAGAAAGAAAAAAAAGGGTGCTCTCCGGGCACAGGCAAAGAGTTAAAATATTGATCGGCTCTTTTTTTTATTTGAGTCACCCCCGAGGTTTTTTTTTCACCCTCGTTTTTTTTTCATCCCCTGGATGAGTGTTGCCATAGCGACTGGTGTACAGCAGGTGTCAAGGAAACACGCAACACAAGAAACTCTTCTTGCAAGAAAAAGAAATTCGTTCCTCATCAAAAAAAAAAAATTAAAATTAGGTGAAAAAAATTGAAAGAAAAAACGAGATTTATTTTTTGTAAACGAACATTTTTAATAATAAAATATTGACATCGACAATACATTTTTATCAATTTATTTGGCATCTGGGCGAATACTTTTATTTACTTGTAATGTAGTAACCTTTTTAAAAATTAATTAGTACATTAATTTTTTTTTTAAAAGGGTTTTTTTCTTTTTAATCACATACTCGATGGGCGACGGGGGGAGGTCGTCACTTGTATACAGAGAAAGAGGTAATACACTTAATAACATCCACAAGAACGTATCGTTATTTAAAATTTTTTTTTTATGTTTTTATTTTTAATTTGTACTTTGTACAAGATTTTTCCATACAAGTTTTTTCATCACAAATCAATAATTACGACGTCGTCTCGCAAAATATATATGTACAAATTTATTTTTAGTTCAATTTTTTTTATCGCGTGAGGTAGAGATTGTAAATAGACCTTTTCTATTATGTACTATTTTATTTTAAGTTTATTTTAATTTGCGATTGAACCTCTTTGGATTATTTTAAATATTTACACAGGACCCTGATATTAATAACTATTCAAAAATCAGTCTTGTCGTCGGAGAAAAATTATTCTTATTTTTACAAGTTATATAAACTTATTACGTCGATAATTAATAATAATTTATAAACATATTTATTTTGAAATATACAAGTTAGAGGTAGGTGTTTTTTATAGGCGTGTGTCTTATTATTTTTTCGATTTTGTACCCTTAAATCGTCTTTACGTCCTCTTAGTCACTAACAAGAATAATAATAATACTTAAATTACAACTTTTTAATTATTGTTATTAATATTAATTATTTTTCGCGATTTTTTTTCGACTCAAATTATATTATATACACCAAAAAAAATCTTTAATAATTAATATTAATAAAATATTTATTTTATTTAAATAAATAAAAAATATATATGCAACTCAAAAAAACGAGTTTTGTTCCTTCTTTTCTATTAAGAAATTCGGTTACGAAATCAATAGACACGAGAGGTATTAATTTCAAACCGGATATCGAAATTAAATCCAATTCAAAAAAACTCGTTTTTAATTCTTATTTTATTTAGAAGGGTTTTTTTAAACCCTTCCAAAAATAACGATTTTTCTTTTATTTTTAAACCAATAAATTAAAAAAAAAACAATCAAAAAATTTAGTTAATTTCCGTTTTTATTTCCACCAAATCTCTTCTTTGCAAATAAATTCTTCTGTCGTCGTCTTCGTGATCGTGATCTTCGCAAGAACTCGGCGAAACGCTCGAAAATCCGCTTGAATTCGAATTTCTTCCGGTACTCATCGATAAATCTTCGGGTTCCGTTTGTTCCGGGATTGAATTGTGTATTTGACGTAACGAAATTGGTAATATCGGATTTGATAAAGGATTCGTTAAAGAATTTGGATTTATAGGCGAAATTGAAATTAAAGGTGAAGATCGTTTCCTTACATCTTCATCGACGTAATCAGAAACATCGGAACTTACTTCTTCGTCAACGTTAGCACCACATTTATGTTGTAATAAATGATGTTTTCTACGAAACTTGGAATGGCATTTTTCACAACTAAATGGTTTTTCGTTTGTATGTATCAACATATGCGCTTTTAATTGATTCGAATCTGAAAATTTCGACGAACAAAATTCACAAACATACGGTTTTTCCCCTGTATGTACCCTTAAATGTCTCCTTAAATTTGCAACTTGTACAAATTGTCGATCGCAATGGTCACAATGATACGGCCTCTCACCGGTGTGTAATCTCATGTGCGTTTTTAAGTGATGGTCTCGCGTGAATCTTTTATGACATTGTTGGCACTCAAAAGGTTTTTCACCTGTATGAGTTCTCTCGTGATTTTGTAGCACGTGTTTATAACCAAATGAGCGATTACAAACGCCGCAAGTGAATTGGCGATCTTTTCCTAATGTTTCACCATTTTTTGTTAAAGATTCAATACTGCTCGGAGGCGAAACAGAACTTCTTGGGGATGACTCCAAAACCGGCGATGAAGAATCGAGGGGAATCGCGATGGTTTTTGGAACATTTTGGGTGAGCTTACGCTTCTTTGATAATACCCTTTCATTCTCCTCAACATTCCTAACACTTTTCGCATTCCCAAAAAGATGATTATTGTTGTTGTTATTATTATTATTCGCCAATTTGCGCAACTCAACAGCGAGTTGCTCAGGAACCGAGCGTTGTAAAGCCCACGCTGCTCCATAACCCCTTAAATATTCCTCAGGACCCATCGTTCCCGAAGATGCAACCAATTGGCTCGCAATCAAAAGTGATGATGACAATCTTTGGCGAAAATTTTCTTGGGGATCTTCCATTTCAATTTAATTAAATTCTTATTTACTCTGAAAATAAACGAAATTCAAATTATTTAAGTTATGTTTAGAATGTTTTGATCTTATTAAAATTGCCTGGAATCTTTTAATAAAAGCTATATTAAGACGAGGAGCGAGCAAATGAGAAATCCTGTAACTCCGCCTTTGGGAAAAACGGCGCAAACTCGCAATTCATATCGCCTCCACCCCCTTTTTGTTCTAAACCCCCCCGCGTATTCCAGGAGCTTCTCATTAACTCGCCTTCTCCTTTTAACCCTTTTCAAAACGAGACGAATACACGCCCACCACCCAAGAAAATCGATTAAAATTGTTACTTACCATAACATTAAAACAATCTTAATCCTTATTTTTCCTCGATGATAACGAAATTCTTCAAAATAACTCACGACACTTGAAGAGAAGTGAAAATGTGAAATACAAAATAAAATCCAGGTCACGTAAAAAAAAATTAACACGAACAAGTTTTATTATATCGAAATTGTTGATTTCGGACTTTTTGGGGCTTCGATGTTGCTCCGACCGCGTTATCGGTGTTACTGGCTCTCTTTCGGGGGTTGCGTTTTCATTTGACCTAACCTAACCCAACTTGATGTTGTTCCTTCCCCTTCCATGTTCTCACAGCGGCTGTTATCCTGGCAAAAAACAAGAGTGGGGACGTGAAATTCACCGCTTTTCGTGGATCCACTTTATTTAAAATATTAATAAACTTTAATAAAAATTATTCGATTTATCCAAAATTGATTTTGACGTTTCCAACTTCATTTTGATCGATAAATGTCATCTTGACAATCTAATTTCAAATAAATTTTAATTTTGCTTTTTATCTGTATTTAAAACATTTTTAAAGATAATTTAAATATTTGTTTAATTTGTTGTAACATTATTTTATAATTTATCAAAAAAAACCATTAATTTATGTTATTCTAATTTCACGTTGATTGTGGTATGTTTCAACTTCACATTAATAGATTTTTTTTAAATTAATATATTTTTCATATTTATTAAGAAATTTGATCACAAATTAAAAGAAAAACTTCAATTTATTATGTTTCTAACTTAAAATCATTAATTATTTAAAAAAATATTGACAAATATTTATTTATTAAAGTAATTAATGTTACTAACTTCACATTGATTTTATTTTGACATTTAAATGACAGTTTAAAGAAAAACTATTAATCGGCATATATTAACAGATTTTCGGGGTTATAACGAGTTTTATAGCAATTAGTCTCATCGCTATGAAGGAAATACTTGCTTATATCAACAGGTATAAGGTATATGTAAACCTTAATTATCTTTAACAACATTTTTTTGTACTTCTTGTCTTAAGATCTAATTTGTTCGTATTAATAAAATCCAAAGAAGTTTGAGATTTATTACAAGATAACAAAAATAACGCTTACAGAATCCTCACATTTCTTTTTGTTACAGCAACCCCACCACGATACAATGTAATAACGAGTCGTTGACAAAATAAGAACAGAAATTTTCTATGTTTCTGACTGTTGAAAAATTGAGGCCGTATCTCTTTATTGAGGATCTGGCTCAACAATCTTAAAAGTCCTTCTGGAAGACTTGCGAGTGGGCAGTACGCCTTCAGCAGTATAATTTTACAATCATCCATCCTAAGGGTAAAGATAACGTTGTACCAGATATGTTTGTCCAGAACTGTTCCGAGAATAGACGAAGTTGAAGAATCGTTTGAAGACAAAAATTGAAGTTCAAGGGCATAAATAGCCATCATATACAGTTCAAGATGGAATAATCTATAAGAAGGTTAATGTGAAACATCCAGACCTTGGTTATTCTTTATGTTTATTTAAATCATTTTTGAAGGCAATTTAAAAATTTGTTTATTTTGTTGAAACATTATTTTAAAATTGATCAAAAAAATCATTAGTTTATGTTATTCTAATTTCACGTTGATTGTGGTTGGTATGTTTCAACTTCACATTGATTAATTTTTTTTAAATTAATATATTTTTCATATTTATTAAGAAATTTGATCACAAATTAAAAGAAAAACTTCAATTTATTATGTTTTTAACATAAAATCATTAACTTATTTAAAAAAATCTTGACAAAAATTACTTTAATGTTACTAACTTCACATTGATTTTATTTTGACATTTAAATGTCAGTTTAAAGAAAAACTATTAATTAATCGGCATGTATTTTATAGCAATTAATACTCATAATTATGAAGGAAATGCTTGCTTATATCAACAGGTATAAGGTATATGTAAAACTTAATTATCTTTAACAAATTTTTTTTGTACTTCTAGTCTTAACATCTAATTCATTCTTATTAATAACATCCAAAAAAGTTTGAAACTTATTACAAGATAACAAAAATAACGCTTATACAGAATCCTCACATTTCTTTTTGTTACAGCAACCCCATCACGATACAATGTAATAACGAGTCGTTGACAAAATAAGAACAGAAATTTTCTATGTTTCTGACTGTTGAAAAATTGAGGCCTTATCTCTTTATTGAGGATCTGGCTCAACAATCTTAAAAGTCCTTCTGGAAGACTTGCGAGGTGGGCAGTACTCCTTCAGCAGTATAATTTTACCATCATTCATTGTAAGGGTAAAGATAACGTTGTACCAGATATGTTGTCCAGAACTGTTCCGAGAATAGACGAAGTTGAAGAATCGTTTGAAGACAAAAATTGAAGTTCAAGGCCATAAATACCCATCATATACAGTTCAAGATGGAATAATCTATAATGTGAAACACCAGACCTTGATTATGAAACGAATCAATGGAGGATCTAAGGAAGAACGTTTAACGAGAAATTTAACGATGAAGCGGAAGTTGGAGATCATCTTGGAGTGATGAAGACGGTGGAAAAGATCAGTCAACTTTATTATTGGATGTGGCAAGGTATGTTAAAGCTTGTCAAATATGTCAACGAACGAATCCAGAACAGAAAAACCCTGGTGATGAAAAATCATGGAAAAACCATAACGGTGAACATAACAACGCGTTTAGAGTCAATGAACAAGAAATATGTAGAAGCAATAGCTTAAAGTAAATCTAATTTGCATTTTCTATTGAATTCTAGTTTTGACTCATTAAATCTCATCCTTTCTTCTTTCAATTTTTACCCAATTTTTTTCATTCATTCATCCTCCTTTTTTCTTCCGTTTCAGAACAATACAGTTTGGTTAAAAAAAAAGAAGAAGCAAGGTTATACCTGGGCGATAATGTCTCGAAGGATTTTTTTATGAGTTTATGGTACACAACCTAACGGTGGAACGTGGCTGGGCTTTGTTATTCGAAAAATTTCCATACTCTGCGGACGGCTTGCGTGAAATCGGTAGCAAAATCAGGTAGTTTTTTTATTTATTGCCCTATTTTTTGTTTATTTCTTGAATAAAAATCGTTTTTGAGTATTGTTCCGTGGACGAAATTTATGGCGAGGTGGACAATATGAAATTAAGTCGTGAAAAAAAACTGTACTTGAGCGTAGTTCAGTAGCTTTTTGGATTTATTTATTACACTTACATTCAAATTTAGACAAGTATGAAGTTTTTTTTTTAATCTTTTCGGTAGACGTCTTGAGACGTCTCTTTAAAATAAGAAAATCGGTTGCACAAGACCCGCGTTATTATTACACGTGAACCCTCTGGTTGGTGATCGAAAAACGGCCGAAAAGGTTGTTTTCGATACAGAAATTTCTTTGTCCGAACCGGAGGTCCCCTTTGTGAGCGCCGGCCATCGGCCGTTTTTTTTTCTTCTTCCTCGACCTCTTCGCTATTATTATTGGGGGCCGCGATACTCGAGCTTCTCTCGCCCTTATCCCCTTATTGTCCAGCATATTTGCCCTGGACACAATTCCTTCGACGATTTTTCCGATAACGGATTCTTTTTTTACATTTCATTTTTGGATACGTTTTAGCCACAAAAACATTTGTTTTTTGTTGTTGGTTTGTAGATAAAAAGTAACCAAATAAACAAGATTAGAAGAAATAGTAGATAGGAAGAAGAAAAATTGGTGTATAGTCTAAAAAACCCAAGTTAATTTGTAAGAGTAAAAGGAGAAAAAAAATTATCATTAAATTTTATCAAACGCGGACGCAAAGTTTGGTTGTTTGGTTAGGATAGGTTAGGGAGATGATAACAACGTCCTTGGCTTTTACTTTTTCGATTTATCTCTTTCCGGCTCTCACAGACCGTCGCGACTTAGTAACGATGTAAATACTTAAAACGTCATAAATGAAGAAATAAGAAAAAATAAGAAATTTTTTATTATTTTATCTATATACTATGTATATATAGAAATAGGAAAAAAGAGTTGTAACTATTTATTTGCGAACAATGTCGTTTTGCCATCATCATCATCCCCCTTTTTACATTTTATTCTTTCACGTTGACATACTCGAGGGGATTTTTTGGACGATCACTCCTCCCCTGTGATGTCGACGTACGACAATATACGATAAATACGTAAAAAAACGAGGGTACAATGGCGTACCGCTCCCTTAATAAAGTGCGATAATTCCTGGGGCCACCGTATCGTTCAACTCTTCCAAAGATTTATTATCAAAAAGGTCACAACCTATTTTGAGGTGGTTACAAATTTATAACCACCATTTCTTTACCAATAAAAAACCGCAGGTAGAAAAAAATAACCAATAAAAATTTGTCATTTAAAAAAATTGAGTTCTATTATTTATAGAGTTTACAAAAAAAGTAAAAATAATAGTTCATGAAGTAAAGGAAAGATCAGAAGAAATAGGGTTAACAATGAATATGAGTAAAACAACTCAACAATTAAATTGTTTAAATGGAACCGCTATAGAAGATGTAGAAGGCGAATGCATAAATCTGCGGGGACAGCTTTCGGCAAGTTAAAACATGTATTACAAAGCAAAAACAAGAAATTTAAAACCTACATGAAGGTCTATGAAAGTAAAGGTACTAAAACAGGCTACCCAACGCCACATGGAACGAGCCGTTTTAAACATACGAATAAGTGATAAAAAATCAATAGAATGGATAAGACAACGCACCAAGATGGAAGACGTAATGGATACAATATTGAAAGCAAAACGGTATTAGGCGGGTCACATCAGTAGGATGGAGAGCACAAGATGGACAAGGAAAACAACTGGATGGAAACCGTCGGAAGTTTCATTATGCGATTTTAGGAAACACCTAGAATGGAAGAATATGGATGATATCAGCTGAAAACAGAAAAAAAGTGAGACATGTAGGGAATTTCATATAACTCGCAATATATGAATGCATTAACCATAGTTACGCAACTACTATGCACTTGACCCACATAAAATGCAACATAGCTTAATAGTGGATTGGGTAGTTTTGCAAAGGAAAAGTTTTGCTTGGAAAAGGTGACGCCCTTATAATAACTTTGAGTTTTCGTCTTAAGAGCCTAGTGATAGTGCTAGTGCACTACTAGAACTAACACAAGACCTAGAACTAGAATCATTTGGGTTTAGCCGTCTTGAGAGACGTGCGGCTAAACCCGAATGTTTCTGGTTCTAGGTCTAGTGTTAGTTCTACTTTTCGTTCAATAAAAATATGCCACAATGTAACGCTGAATAGCTATTAAAACTAGAACTAACACTAGACCGAGAACTAGAAACATTCAGATTTTACCGCACGTCTCTTAAGACGGCTAAACTCGAATGATTGTAGTTCTAGGTCTTGTGTTAGTTCTAGTGATAGTGCTAGTGTAAAACTAGAACTAACACTAGAACTAGAAACATTCGGGTTTACCCGTACGTCTCTCAAGACGGCTAAAACCGAATGATTCTAGTTCTAGGTTTTGTGTTAGTTCTAGTGATAGTGCTAGTGTAAAACTAGAACTAACATTAGACCGAGAACTAGAAATATTCGGATTTTACCGCACGTCTCTTAAGACGGCTAAACTCGAATGATTCTACTTCTAGGTCTTGTGTTAGTTCTAGTGACTGTCTAAAACTAGAACTAACACTGGATCTAGAACTAGAAAGGAGCGGGTTTAGCCGTGCGTCATCACACCAGTTAGCCATTAGTTTTAGTTCAATAAAAATATGCAACACAGTGATATCTTATGTCAACTAGCGCTACCTACCACTGTCACTAGAACTACCATTAGACCTACAACTAGAAACACTCAGACATGTTGCATTTTATGTGGGACAAAGTAATTAGGTACGCCCTGGTTTTTATGGAAATATACTTTTGTATATTGCGTTTTAAGTGAAATACACTGTATGTCCGTAAATTGACAAAGAAAGGCTGAATAGGAAGAAAGCGAGAGGTAAATGTTGGAGAAGGGCAGTAAATATCTGCATATCCAATAAATCTACAAGCAAATTCGTTTCCCCATTGACTTAATATGGTTTCTTAGGTTGCTTTCCATTACAATTAGATTTGAGCGTGGTTTTACATTATTTTTGGAATGGAATGGTTGGATGTGGTTGAGTTGATTTTGGACAGCGTTGCTTGTTTTGGGATTGAGTTTCTTCAAAGTTGGGTTATTTTTGGGTAGAGTTATATTTTGGTTTCCTTCTTTTGGAGTAGGATTAAGTTTTAATTGAGTTACTTTGAATTTTACTTTCGCTAAACGTAAATTTCTTCATTTGGATCTAAGTATATTTATTTTAGTTTTCGGATTGAAACGGTTGAGTTGCTTTTGGACAGAGTTGCTTGTTTTGGAATTGAGTTTTTTCAAAGTTGGGTTGTTTTTGGGTTGAGTTATATTTTGGTTTCCTTCATTTGGAGTAGAATTAAGTTTTGATTGAGTTATTTTGAATTTTACTTCCTTTAAACGTAAATTTCTTCATTTAGATCTTTATTTCGAGTTGAATTAGGTTGTAAATCTAAATAAATCTACACTGAGAGAAATGGATTGTGCTATGCACTAAAAATATACTATAAGGTATAATACTTTACTACGAAAAGTGACAGCGAGACGAGATTGTATTCAGTACAATAAATATAATGACTATATAATACAATGAATTGCTGCATGTATAATATTTTTTCTATAATACGATTCGTACAATCTATTTCTTTCAGTGTAGAAGCAAATTCGTTTCCCCATTAACTTAATATGGTTTCTTAGGTTGGTTTCCGTTAGGATTAGATTAGAGCTTGGCTTGGCTTTGTGTCTTTTTTGAAATGGATTAGATTAAGTTGTGGTGAAATTGGCTTATTTTGGTGTTACATTGTTTTCGGATTGGAATGGTTGGATGTGGTTGAGTTGCTTTTGGACACAGTTGCTTGTTTTGGGATTGAGTTTCTTCAGAGTTGGGTTGTTTTTGAGCTGAGTTATATTTTGGTTTCCTTCTTTTGGGGTACACTGAGAGAAATGGATTGTACTATGCACTAAAAATATACTATAAGGTATACGTTTACTACGAATAGTGACAGCAAGACGAGATTGTATTCAGTACAATAAATGTAATGAATATAATACAATGAATTGTGGCATGTATACAATGAATTACTGCATGTATAATATTTTTTCTATAATACGATTCGTACAATTTATTTCTCTCAGTGTAGGATTAAGTTTTGATTGAGTTACTTTGAATTTTACTTCCGCTAAACGTAAATTTCTTCATTTGGATCTTTATTTGGAGTTGAATTAGGTTGTAAATCTAAATAAATCTAGAAGCAAATTCATTTCCTCATTAACCCTTTCGTTACGGAGTATTTTCAAGATCATATAGCAAACCCATATATACAAAAACGTATGCGTACGCTCTTAGTAACGAAAGGGTTAACTTGATATAATTTTTAGGTTGGTTTCCGTTTAGATTTGAGCTTGGTTTGGATTTGTGTCAAACTTGTATTGAAATGGATTAGATTAATTTGTGGTGAAATTGGCTTATTTTGGTGTTACATTGTTTCCGGATTGGAATGGTTTGATGTGGTTGAGTTGCTTTAGGACAAAGTTGCTTGTTTTGGGATTGAGTTTCTTCTGAGTTGGATTGTTTTTGGGCTGAGTTATATTTTGGTTTCCTTCCTTTGGAGCAGGATTAAGTTTTAATTGAATTACTTTGAATTTTACTTCTGTTAAACGTAAATTTCTTCATTTGGATCTTTATTTGGAGTTGAATTGGGTTGCTTTGGAGCTTATTTGACTTGCTCAACATAATCACATCTCCAGCTTGCATTATAATAAAATGAGTTGGTTGTTTTAAGGTTGTATGTTTTGCGGGTAAGTTGCTTTGAAGTTAGATTGGTGATTTGGGGTTGGGTTAAGGTGTGTTTAAGCTAAATTCAGCTTTAGGACTAGATTTGGTCGCTCTTAATTTAAGTTAGTTTGATACTTAGTGCTTTCAGGTTGAGTTAGTTTGGTTTGCTTAGCTATGATTCATTTATGATTTCAGTTAGGTTAGTAAGGGTTTAGCTGAGTCCAGACTTAGGCTCGGTCAG